TTGCCTTGTGATCTTTATTGGCCTCAGAAGCATGTGATCTTTGTGACCTACTCCCTGTCCATACACCTACCCTTTTGAAATCCTTAATAAAAACTTGCTGCTTTTGCGGCTTAGGTGGGCTTCATGGAACTACCAATATGTGATGTCACCCCTAGCAGCCCAGCTGTAAAATTCCTCTCTTCGTACTCTTTCTCTTTATTTCTCAGACCAGCTGACACTTAGGGAAAATAGAAAGAACCTATGTTGAGTTGGGGGTGGGTTCCCCTAATAAGGGAGGATTCCAGAAGGACACTATTTTATACTGCTTTGGATCTCTTCATGTTGCCTGAGTGGGTTGTCCACAAATATTATTTAAAATTAAAAAATTTGCTATTACTCGATTGAGAATGATTTTCTTTGTTTGTTTGCTTTATATTTAGATACAGGGTCTCATTCTGTCATCCAAGCTGGAGTGCAGTGGCATGATCACAACTCACTGTGACCTTGAATTGTGACCCCAAGCAATCTTCCTGCTTCAGCCTCCTAAGTAGCTAGGACTACAGGCAGGCACCACCACACCTGGCTAATTATTCTATTTTTTTTTGTATAGATGAGGGTTTTGCTATGTTGCCCAGGCTGGTCTAGAACTCCTAGCCTCAAGCAGTCCTCCTCCCTCGGCCTCCCGAAGTGCTAGGATCACAGGCATAAGCTACTGCACCTGACTATTGTTGTTGTTGTTTTAAACATTTTATTTGGTCGTTTTGGAAACTTAATGTCTACTACATTTATCATAATAATTTGAAAATCTTTACATCTTTTATATAGAAAACATTATCTTCTTAAAATAGGAGGTTTAAAATATTTAAACTTAAGAATCTATTAAAACTAATCCATATTATTAAAATAAAAATGATAAAAACATCTGTGTGAACATGGCCTGCATTTTACCCAAGTGTAATCTGACACTTTTTTTCTTTCTCTGTAGGAGGCAACTAATACTGATGGAGTTCTAGTTATATGCTAGGCACTGTGGAGGCCTCCTTATTTTATTGATTCCATATCATACTCTTTTTGGAGTTTTGCTAGATTAGTCTTTGACAATTCTAACTCTCAGACTATAGGGCTTTCTTTACCATTTGCCTTGTGATATTCCTTGGCTGCTGTAAGAACATGACACTAGAAGGCTTGCTTTCCTATTTTTCTTAAGGTAAAGTTTATAGATTTTATCAAGTGGAGGAAATGAAATAATGACCTATTTTCTGATCTTTGTATCTTCCCCTATGGTCATGATAATTTCGACTTGCTTGTCACCAGTAATATTTTGATTAAAAACTAAGGGAGCCTCCTCTTATTGCCCCATATTAGAAAGTAAAGTTTGTGGCTGGATCTCATCATTGTCAATCATCTCAGTTTAAAAGAAGGTGGGCAGACCTGCCTAAGGGAAAGTAGCAACCAAGTCCTATTTGTAGAAATTGTTTGTAAACACTGTTTTTGTCTGCCTTCCTAGAATGGGGGCAGGGTATTTATGACTCAATACATAAAACATTTTGAGGGAGGAAACTTCAGTTATCAGGGGCTAAAAATTCAATGTATGTAATTTTTGTGCTTATTAATGCTATCTTGAATGGAAATGAAAAAAGAACTTTATTGAAAAAATAACCTTATAGATACGTCTCTTAAAGTTCTTGACTTTTCACTCACTGCTTTGTAAAAACTAATAAAAATTTCAGACTTGACAAAAGTAGAATGAAATCTCCCCAGACTTTGGCCAAAACTTCCCCACGAACAGAGATTCTTAAATATCTCCTTTTCACACATGAGAAACCTGATGTTCAGGGGAGTTAAGTTACTTGCCCAATGTCTAAGGTTAGAAATAGAAATGTGTCTGTTTCTTTCTACTAAGGCTTAGTTGCCACATCTGTTCATTTAAATGCTCAAAGAGCCTGATGTTTATATAAACTTCAGAATTATTATGTATACTTCACTTTCTCTCCCAGTTTCACTTATAATGTAGCAGGTTGTATTGAAGAGCATAGAAGACTAAACAAGTAAAATGTGTGTTCCTAGGAATCATAGCTAGTGCCTACTTATCTTTTACTTTTTATGACTATTATAAGTTCATAGAGATAGAGAATCTAATACACATGTAACTACATCTCTATTAATGATCACGATGGGATTGAAAATAGTGAAATAAAGACTAAAGCTTATTTTTTTTCTATGAAGAAAGCATGTGCATTGCTTGCTGTGTTCCACATGGCCACCTTCACCTGAAAAATGAGTATTTGAAAACAGGAAAACACAGTAATAATTCCTCAAACTGCCATCTACTGTGTGTTGGACCAATTTCTCTATTATTAGGAAAACCAAGGACTTGGCTGGAAACCATCCCATGTGTTGGAAGGGCTTGAAGAATTGAACTACTCCATTAGCAAGAATCAGTTTCAGTGGAAATCAGGGACTGGTTGGACCATAAAGAATTGTTGGCATGACAAAAATGTTTAAGTACTTTGAACACTTGTCTGTTTCATGCAAAATGTCTGCATGTGTGGGTTTCTTTACCTTATGGAATGAGAAATGAGTGAAAAGAAAATTATACTATGAATGGAAAAAATGTGAAAACAAAAAAGGAAACATTTTCATTATTTGCTGGGTTAAAAGTCAAAAACGTACACATTATGGAATCTGACTTGGCTATATGTCATTGATGCACAATAGCTAGAATTTAGTAATATTAAAACTAGTCATGAAAAAAGCAATTTACCAATATTATGAGGAAAAAGTAAACTGAGGCGATTTTATGATTTAGGAGAGGTTACATGTATAGTTGTAAATCATAAGTTATAACAGGAAGGACTGCTATAACACAAAAGAAGTCAGCAAATAAGCAAGACTTGAATATATGAGAAAAGTAACTGGACATATTGTCTATCTTGCAAAATGTGTGAACCAGAATTCTTGGTATAATATTTTAATGAATACTCTGGATTCTAAAGTATTCTAATCAAATTGTTATTTTATAGAATATCAAGGTATACCTTTGGTTAATTTTGTGTTAGAATTCTATGTGGATGTCACCCGTTTTCTGGCACCTTTAATCAAATCTTCTAGACTTTCTTTCTGTAAAAGTAATTTCATTACTCTGACTATTCCAATACATATGTATGTATGTATGTATGTATGTATGTATCGATCTATCATCCATCTATCTATCTATCTATCTATCTATCTATCTATCTATCTATCTATCTATCTATCTATCTTCTATCTATACATCCATTCATGTATCTTCATCTGCCGTCTGTGTATATAATCCATTTATATATATCCACACATCCACACAAATTTTGGGTTAATCTATCTTTCAAACTTTCACTGTCTGAGCCTTTAAGCATCAAAACTGTGGCTTGCCCTATTGTTAAATTCACTAGCCCTTATGTTACTTGTCATATTATTTCTTTCCATTTCTAAAAGCTATTTCTTTGGGAGTTATAAAGGTACTCATCTTGGTTAATTTTTGAGTACTTTGCCTTTCACTAAGGAACTATCCTATGAAAACCATCACAATTAGTTTTTATTATTGCTATTAAGTTTAAATATTTAACCAAATTTTTTTTTTTTTTTTTTTGCTCTGCACTATATGATGGGTGACTCAACAGACATGGTCACTGCCCTCAGTTCTATAAAAGACAATCAGGAAACGCTTCCCTAAATTAGCAAGGTGAAGTGTTAGCACCTGTTATGGAGGGGCAGATGAAAGCATTTTAGGCAGAGGGAAACAACACAAAATCTCTACTCCAGGAAAGAGTGTGGCATATTCTAGGAATTAAGAAACACTGTTTCTTAAAGATCAAGATTGATCCCTAGTGTCACTATGAGAGACTGGTTTATGTAAGCCAGATACAAAACTTCATCTCATTATTTCATAGTTACACTCTCAAGACATGATTAAACATTTTTTCCTGTAAACTACTATTATTCTAACCCTCAAATGTCTTCCATTTATTAACAATTTTAACTTTTGGAGAGTTAAACACAAGTAGAATATCAAGGAATATAGGAATAGCATGTTTGCATTAATATATTTGATAAAGTTATCTAGAAGTATTAATTTTTTTCTTATCACAAATATGAATATGATGTTACAATAAAACATCCAAATAATGCAAAGGTGGATATAGTACAACTGGTGATTGACTCCTGTACTCTTTTTATCCCAGCCTCTGTTTCTAAAATAGGGAAGAGAGAGCTAAAGCTCTCTCACCCACCATCTCATCTTCTGGGTGGTGGGTGAGGCAGGATAGAGAAATAGTAGATAGTCCAGTCTCAGAAAGCTAGGATATGGCAGGTAGGTCTTTATGTCCCTTTATTTTCCTGGCTTAATCTCTCCAGCTTCACTAACTGGGAGTTTCCTGGATTCCCTAATGCTGTTCTGGAAGTCCCAGCCAGGGATTAAAGAGAAGATAGATCAGATCTGGAAGTACTGTTATAGCCCAGCTTGTGAGCGCCCAGAGATTGCTGAGCTCTTTTAGAGGCACTACCATAAATTGTCCCAGTAGTTAGGACATTGTTGCTTCTGACTGTTACTACTGGACTTGGGACCATTTCTCCTCTCTAATTTCCCTCTGAAGCTGATGGTCTTGTGATATTGCTGAGGGTTTTGAGTGAGATGGAAAGTACAGATAGGAGAGGCTCACAGAGATGAAGTCTTGATTTGGAACTGAGTTATGAACTTAAGCTCACTTGACTTAACTGCATTTAGCACAAAACATCTAGAACATCCACACAAATAGGGAGTTTAGAGTTAATAAAGCAATACTAAAAGCCATATTTTTTGTACTACTGAATTTTAAGTACTAGTCTATCTGTGAAGTATAATGTCAAACATACTCGAAAAAGAGGAGAGTAGATTCTAATTTTATTATATGTACTTTTTTACTTTTCAAAAAGAAAACTGACTTTGAAATTCCTAATTTTAGTTATATTTGTGAACAGCAAAATGACTTGAAATTCTGCTTTACCTTGTTCACAGTAGATTCCAGTGGTTCCTAGAGGACAGAAACAGGTGTATCCATGAGGTAATGAAATGCAGGTTGCTCCTCTGCTACAGTGGTGTGGAGGGTCATGTTCAGGATCACAGATGGAAACTGTCTCTGTGCAGAATGCTCCTTTCCACCTAGTGGTACAGTTGCAGCTGTGGGTTGAGAGAAAGTCACATGGTTTGAGCACTTGTGTAGAGATGGATACATACTATGTATTGCCTTGATGCTAACTTGTCAATTTTAACTGAAGTTCCAAGAGATCAAAATGAATTGTGATTCAAACTCTAAGACCTAAATTGTCAAAGGAGAGAGTTAATAACTGGTTACAGGATTACTGGACTCCACATCAAAGACTTTAAAAGATTCAGAGTGTAAAAGTAGAAAGATAATTTTTTGAGAATCGTTTCTTTGGACAAAATTGCATTGTAAGTCTCTCTCCCAACTCCCACACCACCACCAAGAGAAATAGCTGTGCATGGTATTGCTGTCTCCTAACTTCAAGCCTAGTGGAAAGAGATTTAGCAGGACCACTTGGAGAGCTTGGTATATGTTCTCTGGCATTGGCAAACTCACAGGCTCAGCTCCTGGGGTTGCAGAAAGAGCTGCAAACATGCTGAAGACAAGTCAAATGTGAGTGAATCCCAGGAAAGGGATGTTCATAGTCAGGAACAACAGCTTGAGGATATATAAAAATGAATCTTGACCAAGAGGTGTCCTTCTGGCTAAGATACCTGGGCAGTAAGAGGTTTCTGGCTAGAGCAGAAGCTGAGGGGTAATGGGGAATACTCAGCTGAAAGAGAGACCTTGTCTGGGTTTAGAGAGTGATATTGGGAGGAGCCCAGAAGAAAACTTTCCGATAGACCCATCAAAGGCAGAGTTGTCAGACAAAACGCAGAGCATCTAGTTAAATTTAAACATGAGTTAAACAATGAATAACTTTTCTTAGTAGAAGTATGTCCTGATACGGTTTGGCTGTGTCCCCACCCAAATCTCATCCTGAATTGTAGTTCCTGTAATCCCCATGTGTTATGGGAGGGACTAGGTGGAGAAAATTGAATCATGGGGGAGGTTTCCCCCATCCTGTTCTCATGATAATGAGTTAGTACTCATGAGATCTGATGGTTTTATAAGGGGCTTCCTTCTTCACTGGGCGCTCATTCTTCTTCCTGCCACCACATGAAGAAGGACATGTTTGCTTCCCCTTCCACCATGATGTAAGTTTTCTGAGGCCTCCCCAGCCATGCTGAACTGTGAGTCAATTAAACCTCTTTCCTTTATAAATCACCCATTTTCAAGTATGTCTTTATTAGCAGCATGAGAACGGACTAATACATGTCCCATACAATATTTGAACTTTAAATAAATAATATTTGAGATTTTATTGTTATATATCTTGATATATAGATACATATATATACATATATATACATGCACACATATATATATAGTTGATAAATTGTTGTTTGTCTGAAATTCAAATTTATCTGGGCACCGTGTGTTCATTTTCCCCTCCCTGCCTCCCTCCCTACCTGCCTTTTTCCCTTTCTTCCTTCCCTTTCTCTCCCCACCATACCCCTTCCTTTCTTCTTCTTCTGAAAACACTACACTAAAGAGTACATGAGAGAAAGGGTTAACTTAAAATTCCTGTTACAGTCAGAGAGCCATAAACCACCGTGCCAGTCTAAAGAGCACATTCTAGAACTGGGTGTGAGATATAGGGGTCAGAAACTGTTAAACTGGAAAAGGACAGCAGTTGATCACACCTTCCCAGACCTTTTAGTTATGTCATATACTTTTATATGCTTGTTGCATCTAAATTAATAGTTGTGCAAAAAAAGTCGGAAAATTGTATAGGGTTCTCCAAAATAGAGACAAACAAAATACAGAATTAATCTGCTACAAAATTATATTTTTTGAAGATTATTTTTGAAGATCAAAAAGAGTATAGAATGTATAAAGACTTCTTATACAAAAAAGAGAATGAGTAATTTCGCAAAAGAAATAAAACTATAGTAAAAATTCTTATTAAATAATTTTTAAACACGATGCTCTGTCATTACTTTTAAAAGTGACGATTGCGCCATCTAGTGGTTCATTTTTATCTACTTGAAAAAAGCTTAAAAACAAAATTATTCTCACTGCCTTATAGATAGAACTCACAATGGTAAAATATTTATTTTATTTAATTCACTTACACTTTATTGTATATATTTAAGGTATATAACATAGTGTTATGGGAATAAAATACTTGCTTGGATATTAAAGTGGATAAATCACATTAAGCATAATATAATATAGATGCTAAAATCTTATTTGAAAAAAATAACAAATCAGAGCATCATATAGTTTGTCTCAGAATTTTTAGGTCTGAAACAATTAGCTATATGTTTAATATATAATTAGTGATTATATAATTCTAGTGAGAATGATTTTGTGCAAGGCCAAATTTTTCTTTTTGTTCCTTGGTTTCTATAACACCCTGTGAAATATAGATAACAAAAAATTTCAAGCCTTCATTAGTTATTCTCTACTTTGGGTGATATTTTTCTGACCCTTGATGTTAATTCATTAATATTTCTTCCCTTAACCACATATACTACTCTGCCCTGAGGAAAAGTAGATTTTGTGGAAGTGTGTGTGTGAGGTGAGGTGTCTATATAGTGGGCAATGTAAAAACAAAACAAAGACAGGTTGGTATCTATTTAAAGAATATTTATTATTTTTTACAGGCTAGCTGTCTGTGCTTATCTTAGGATTGAGGATAGTACTGTGCTTGGTACTGAGATTCTACAACACAGGAGGGTCCATTTTTGACCTCATGGACTTCTGTATTTTGGAGAAATCAGATTAGTAAGGAGACAATTTTAATAAGATGGGACGAGTTCTAAAATGGGTATTATGGTATCCTGTGGATGGATATCTAAGTAATTTTAGTGGATTACTTAGGGAAGGCTAAGGGAAGGCTTAGGAAAGGCTGCCAAAGTGAAATTTGCCCGTATAAATGCATGCACTGAGAGGAGGTGTCAAAGGACTTTGAACAACAGGCTGAGACAATTCAACTTTTTTTTAAAAAACTATTAATTTTTGTGGGTACAGAGTAGGTGTACATATTTATGGGGTACATGACATGTTTTGGTATAGGCATGCAATGTGTGACAATCACATCATGGAAAATAGGGTATCCATCCCCTCAAGCATTTGTCCTTTGTGTTACAAACAATCCAATTATACTCTCTTAGTTATTTTAAAATGTACAATTAAATTATTATTGACTATAGTCACCCTGTTGTGCTATCCAATACTAGTTCTTGCTCATTCATTCTCACTACTTTTTTGTACCCGCTAACCATCCCTACCTCCCTGTTACCTACCACCCTTCTCAGCCTCTAGTGACCATCCTTCTACTCTCTATCTCCATGAGTTCAACTGTTTTGATTTTTAGAACCCACAAATAAGTGAGAATATGTGATGTTTGCCTTTCTGTGCCTGGCTTCAGTTCAACTTTTAAGTGACAGGTGTATACAAAATGACACGAATGATGAGGCACACTTTAAGAATATTGATCTGTTATGTGTAGGATGATTGCATAGTTTAACAATAAGCTCTCTGGTGACGTAATTTTAATCTTAGTGAGATCGTAGCATATTTTTGCTACTAGAAAAGGGGCCGGCAACCTTTTTTTTTGTAAAGGGCAAGGCAGTTTACAGTTTTGCTTTGTGGGCCATATAGACACTGTAGCAATAACTAAACTCTGCCATTGTTGAAAGCAGCCACAGAAAACACACAAATGGGTGTGGCTGTATCCCAATAAATTTTAGTTACACAAATAGGTGGTAGGCCAGATTTGGCCCATATGCCATAGTTTTCTGACCCCAGCACTCTAGACCATTAATTCCAGAGCTAGGGTCTGTTTTGTTTTTCATTATTGTCTCAAGGCCCAAAACAGTTCTTGGTTTATTGTAAGTTTTAATTGACTATTCAAGGAATAAACATATAAATGAATAAATATAATAGGTCATGGCTGGGATAAGAAAGCAGATGGAGGCAAAAGTCCTGAATAGGAAAATTGCTGTGGGGATGCAGAGGTTGAAGTGTAGATGTGAGAGGCATTTTCAAGGCTTTGGTAAGTGTGTTGGTATGAAAGAAGAAAAATTATAGTAATGACAAACATTATTTGATGCTTACCATGTGTCAGGCACTCTTCTAACCTTTTTAGTTTCTCTATTACCTTATAAGAAGGGTACTATCATCATCCTCATTTTGAAGAGGAGGAATCTGAGGAACAGAGAGGTTAAGTCTGCTAATAAGTGAGGAAGTCCACGCTTTAGTTACCATTTTATGTCTCTCAATCCTGTGGAAGTGTTGGGACCGTGAAAGAGCATGGTGTTGTTAGTGAAATAGGGACAACTGGATAGCAATATAGTAAAGGGAAAACATAAAGAATCTACTTTTATAGGCTTTATTCTTGGGATGCAAGACTGGTTCAACATACACAAATTGATAAATGTGATTCACTACATAAATAGAATTAAAAGCAAAAACCATATCATGTTCTCAACAGATGCAGAAAAGACTTTGATAAAATTTAACTTTCTTTTGTGTTAAAAACCCTCAACAAACTAGACATTGAAGGACCATACTTCAAAATAATAAGAGCAGTCTATGACAAATCCATAGCCAAACATCATCCTGAACAGGCGAAAGATCGAACCATTCCCCTTAAGAACTGCAACAAGACAAGGGTGCCCACTCTCGCCACTGCTATTCAACACAGTAATGGAAGTGCTAGCCACAGCAATCATGCAAGAGAAAGAAAGAAAAGATATCCAAATAGAAAGAGAGGAATTCAAGTCATCTCTCCTTGCAGATGATATTATTCTATACTGAGAAAATCCCATGGACTCTGCCAAAAGGCTCCTAGAACTTATAAATAACTTCAGTAAAATTTCAGAATACAAAATCGCTGTACAAAAATCAGTAGCATGCCTATACACCAATTACGTCCAAGCTGAGAACAAAAGCAAGAATGAAATCCCATTTACAATAGCCACAAAAAGAATGAAGTACCTAGGAACACGGAACCAAGGAGGTGAAAGATCTTTATAATGATAATTACCAAACACTGATGAAGGAAATCAGAGATGACACAAAT